ACAAGTATATGCCATGCCCTGGATGCAATGGGTACTGACAGTAAGAATGCTGGTGCCGATATAATGCACGTACAACCGTAATGCAAGAAAGCTCTATATGCAAGCCAACATTTATCAACATGACCAGCGGCATGCTCTAGCAAACTTCGTCTTCAAAACAGCCAATCCGCAGCATCAGGGGTATCCTCAGAATGAACGCTGCATACTAGTCGCTCACATGCTATCCTCCATGTGCCTACTCCTCGTCTTTTGCCAGTCATCCCTCTCCTTCTTTCCGCCGTCCTTTTCGAGGCCCATGCCTCTTTCCACCCACTGCTTGCTGCCCATCTCGCTTAACCTGGACAGCGCACGAGCAAAGGCAAAGGCCTCCTCCGCACCCGAGAACAGGTTGGAGTTCTTCAATTGCTCGGCGTTGTGCTCCAGATCCTCCATGAGATGACCCATCCTTTCCTCCACGCCGTTGGTATCTCCTGCACCGCCCTTGCCCATGGACTGCTCGACCTCCTCCGGAGAGACGAACAGTTGTGACAGTGGTTTCTCTGTCGTCAGAACCAGCTTGGCATGGTTCTCGTAGACGGCATCGATGAAGGTGATGAATCGGCGGGCGAGATCACGCTGCTGATATGTCATTGCCGGGCAATTTGTCACGATGAAGGCGTCGTATGACCGACACAGCTCGATATAGTCGGCGGCTGAAGTCGGGTGACCTATAAGCTCGTCGAAGGTAAACCAGGCGCAGCGGCCACTGACGCGTGGGACCTTGATCTCGCGCCCCCATACATGCTGCACTTCGGAGTGAGGCTCGGGGTGCTCTGGGTCGCCCAAGAAGCGGAACCATTTCTCCGCGTGGGAGGCCGCATGGGCGTCCAGCGGGGTATGATAGACGCCAGATGGTGGTCGTGGGATCTTGCGGTAATCCGTGTTGCTGTCCAGGTTGACTACGTGCAAGCGAGACTTGAGTAGCTCAATGGCAGGAATGAAGGACTCGCGCTGGACACCGTTCTTATACAGCTCGTCCGGGTGGCGATTGGAGGTTGTCACGAGCACTACGCCATGGGACATGAGGGCTTCGAGGAGTCGGCGAAGGATCATGGCATCGGCGACATCAGTGCACTGGAACTCGTCGAAACACAACACGTTGCCCTGGCTAGCGATATCAGCTGCCACAAACGGAATGGCGTCGATGTCGTTGCCGTGCTCCATCTTCATGCGATGTAGTCGCTTGTGTACGTCCTGCATGAAGTTGTGGAAGTGTATACGTGTCTTCGTCTTGACTGTGGCGGGCAGCGTGTCGTAGAAGAGATCCATCATCATGGTCTTGCCGCAACCAACATCGCCGTACAGATACAGTCCTCGCGGCAGATCGTGCGGTATCTCTCCTATGGTGTGCTTGTGCCCTCCAAAGAGAGAGCCAAAGAAGGACTTCTTCGGTTTCAGGGACTCCAGGGTCGGCCGCACGACCGGTCTGGCCCGATAGTGTCGCAACTCATCGTGGAGGTGTTGGAGAGTCTGTATGATGCCTGTGATGGTCCGTGTTAGTCTCGAACAGAGGCCGTACGGGAGCAGATATGTTTAACACGCACCTCTTTGATGCTCGTCGTTGCGTAATATGCCGGCTCTTACACGCCTGTCATATTCCTCAACGGGGCCAATGTCCTCTTTGTTCCCTACGCTAACCGTTAGTCAATTGACAACTACGAGAAGACGTATTCTAGGTATTTCTACCATTTTCTTCCGAGGCAGCCTCTACTGCTGAAGCATAGCACCTCTGCGCCGAGTACCGGCTCCGGCGCGGCACGCTGCCGTTTGTTGTTCGGACGGACCGAGGTATGACTGTGGAGTAACCTGCCGGTAACGGAAATCGGGGCACTGGTCGCTGCGACACGGAACAGAGACCTCGTCGCCCAGACGGTGTCTCAGGAATATTGCGGCGTCGAACAATTGCTCTGGCACCAGAGTGCTCCCGCAGAAGCGGCTTCGCAAGGGAGAGGGATCTCTTGGAGCGCATGGTCATCCAATGGCTATCGTACTTCGGGCAATGCACACACCGAGCGCATGACACGAAAGGAGCTAAAAGACAGGAGATGAAGAGACAAATGCAGTCTAAACCTTCAATCCAGAAACAACAGTAGTCTAAGGGTCACCGAATGCTACTGGCGCAAGGCGCAATCTGTTTGACTTTTGTCGGTCTACAATCCTGTCAAGTGTTGCCGAGCGGTTTTTTTTGGAGAAAAGATCATCCAATTCTTGACAAGTTGACAACCTGCCTTCAGACGTCAGACACGGGGCTAGCTGCCTTTACTGAGTCTAGCGTCCCACGACAGGCCAACCAGCGCGCGTTAACCCCCGTGGCATACCGAAGGTCTACCGAGTCCCCGAATTTTGGGAGCCAAAAAGTGTGGGGGATCGGAGCGAGGCTTCCACATGGCATATGCCTCCATCGTCCTGTCAAGAATTCGACAAGTAGCAAACACGAGTTGACAATCTTCAGCATAATCGATGTGGATTTCCAAAGTGTCTCAGGAGTTCTCTTGAAGGCCATGCAGCTTGCTGGATTGATATTCTACACCTAAGCTATCATAGCTTTTCAATCATTTCCGATTTCCAAATACCAAGACAACAAATACCCGACGGTCATGACGCGCGTAGGCGTCCTTGAGGGCTCCAGATCTATCTTAGACTGGAACTCAGGCCAGGAACAAGGCAAATCCGACAGCAGCAACTATAGCACCACATGACACACTAATGATACCAGCTCCGTTTGGCTTGGTGGACGTAGACGGCGTTACAGACGTTGTTGGAGAAGCTGTACCCGACGGGCTAACCGTGGACGACGTCTCTTTGGGAGCTGGACCAACGGTGCCGCCGAAGACAGCCGGGGGTGCCACGTTCTGAGTCGCACTCTTGGCCGCCGCAGCATAGGTCGCAAAAGACATTGCGTTGGTGGGATTGATGACACCAACCATGCCGTCCTGGCAGTGTTTGCCCTGGGAGCAGTAGAAGGCGACGGGCTCGGTGCTGTTTATCGTGACCGAGAAGACGTTGGGCTATGGCCAGAGTGTCAGCCTTCGAACTGTGTGCCAATCATGCTGTGTGAAGTGGTGAAACCTACATTCTCGCCATTCAGAGCCGGAAGGTAACCTGAGTAGAAGCCTCCAGTTGTGGCAGGGTGGCACGCATTGTCGAAGTCTCCTTGGACAACGCTATGGTTTCCAGCGACGAAATGGAACTCGAGTACATCGCCAACGGCTGCCTTGGTCTCGTTGGGACTGAACACTAGGCCTCCTGGACCGGATTCGATCTTAATGGTGGCGGCACCTGCCTGCACTGCCAACGCGGAAGCGAGCAGAAGCCTGATAGTTGAAGACATGATTGTTCCCCTAGGCAAGATGTTCAACGACCAAGTTGCTTTGGGTTGAGCAGACTGCGAGGACGGTGATACTTGAGAATGTAAGAGCTGGTTTGCGCAATGCTACTAAATTGAGAGAGACAGTTGGCAGCGAGAGGCATATAAGAGAAGCCATCTTTGCACACCAGGACTCGTTTGGTGTCGGATGTCACTCAGAGGCCCGGTTTGCTGCCGTGTTCCTGTTTCTCATGCCGTCAAACGAGAGCGAGACACCGCCTCCACCAAGCGACCAACGTGAGAGGGCAGCCATTTCGCCATATCGAGTCGGTCTTCCGGGCTCGGAAAGTGTTATAGTGCTTATTCATGACCAACAATCTCACGTCAGTCCTCACTTATCTGTTTCACCTAAGAGCACAGGGGAGCTGTAGTGTTTGCAAGGAAACAAGCAAACACAACACCGGTCGACAAGGTTTGTGGTCGAACACATGTGTTGCAGCTTGACCCCTGTTACAACAGTTCGTTGGTTAGGGGCAAATAGCAGTGCCCAGCCATTTCCCTGCTAATAATCACATCTTGAAGGAGCTTCGAGCTTACTCCAAGTGTGAGAAGTCCAGCTTATGGCTCTCTGGAAGCAGGGCACTGCACTAGCTTCGTCGTACAAGCTCCTTAGGGGTCGCTCCTTGTCAACCGACCCATGTCGTTCTTACTGAGCAACCATCCTGTACAGGGCACCAACGCTACACTTGCGTATATTCATCTGTGTGACGACAGCTGTCCTGTCATCCCCCCCCAACGAGTTGACGGCCACCCTCTTGTCAAGGTCAACGTCCTCGATATACCAAACGTTAGCCCCCGATGGCACGATGGACGAATTGTCAGGTGAGATAGCATTTATGACAAGATGCTTTGGTCTTATATGCCGCTTGCCTTCAGGACAAATCGACACATATGGTGGCCGAAATCTTCTCCGTTGCGAGGCTCAAATCAGCTAGCTTCGCATATCTGACTTCAACAACCTTCACAACGGAGTAAAACCTGTTTACGAGCCTGTACACAACATAGAGAGCGCCTCGAGGAGCTTGGTTCCTCGCTTGTTGTTCACCAAGCCCGGTCAGTAAGTTGCGGATACGGCCTGCTATTTCTAGCCTTGAATTCCTCGAGGTAACACATGCAGCTCGGGCCCGATCAACTTCAGTAGTGTCCAACACAGACGGCAGGCCAAGGGCAGACATGCCGCGCGTTGGCACCCGATAGTAGTGGTACCATAGGCCCAGGGCCGACCTGCTGGTACGCCTGAGACCTCCTCATGTCAATAGCCAGCGGATGACAATGCGGCTGTGAGTGTAGCCCAAAAAAGGGAACGGCGGTAGCTTGAGGTCAAGCACAAGAGAACAGCAAAAGGAGAGTGATTCGATCCAGGCTTGAACTGGAGACCTTCAGTGTGTTAGACTGACGTGATAACCAACTACACCATCGAACCGCTTGTCTTATGAATGATGTGGTGCAAAGTTTGCCTGAGAATCATTGGACAAGTTGAAACGGGCCAGGAGCAGATTTTGACGATGTGGATCCGGACATGAGTCAAATCTTAACATACTACCACCACACCCTGACTCAAAAGCAACAATATGATGCCTTGCTCACCATCAACGGGCTGTTGGTCTAGTGGTATGATTCTCGCTTAGGGTACACCCTAGCTACTGAAGCTTCACAGCTTGCGAGAGGTCCCGGGTTCAATCCCCGGATAGCCCCTGAATCCTGGCGTCACTCCCCTTGCGAGTGTCACCTTCACATTTTTGATGTTTTGACCCAATGAGCTGGGTGTGTTGAGGACGTCCCGTTAGCTTGAGTCCATGCTACCTGTCGACGAGGTGAAGACATGGCCGTGGTCTTGACTACATCGTCCTTGACCGTGACGGCACATAGCATTTGACAAACTTAGCAGTCTTTATTGCCCTCAACGTTCAAGCCTCTAAGGATGACCAGTGCTGAGAGCAGCGTTCTTGCTCTAGGCTCTGTCACTTTCGAAAGACGGAGTCTCTGCTTGGGGCCATGATCCACGAGACCTTAAAACTCTCAGCCCACGCCTGCGATCCATACCTTGTCAAAGGAACACGCCATGTGGACCAACATCAGGCGAACGGATACCGACGAGAGATACGCAAGTCAGTAACAGGGTAGACTCTTAAAACAAGCTTCGCATTATACCTAAGAGATGTGTCCAGATCAAGCGTTACTCTCCTGGGAATCGAGCCCCGGTTTGAGGATGTCTATCCTACACAAGAAGCCAAGGATGATGACAAGCTCATATACCAACCGCCTACGAGTAAAAGATATGACCGTGTTGACTGCCGTGGGTGGTGATCGTGGGAGTTCTTGAGACTTATTGACGCTAGATCTTAGCACGGTCGAAGCAGTGGGCTCCCTGGTGCACGGTTGGGGAAAAGGGGGGGAGGTCAATTTCAGAAGAGGTCCACCCCCAGAAATTGTCTAGACTAGGCCGCTCGGTTTCAAGCGGGACCCTGGGTGGGCTCCCCGTTGCTCTCCTCATTCTCATTCAAGCCGTGGAGCACAACATCTATTGCGCTGGCTCCGTGTCGTCCTGTGGAAAGGAAGAGGTCTGTTCAGGGGACGAGCAGGTCGTGCTGTGGTTCACTACACCCAATGAACACGTGGATATCGCAGTACGTTCCGAGCAACGCCTGCTATAGGTTCAGTTAGACACCGCTGGTGAGGTTGTGAAACTGTTTTTTAACTACTTCATATCTCTTTCATAATGTTCAGTCTTGCTGTGCGTGTAAGTGGTTCGATCTTCGTGCATTCCGAGTCAAGATAAGCCAGACTTCATCGTCGAGTCAGTACATCCCATGCTAACACCTGATACAGCATATTTCACAGCCTGCAACTTGCTTCTCTTTGCTGTTCTTTCGGGGCGGGTATTCTCATATCCTGCTGAAGCTTATGATGAAGTGTATCGGCGGTGTAGAAATGCTCCGGGTATCCTGGCTGGAATCATGGCCACTCCCACGAGAGCGCCTTGAATAGATCATCATCTGCCAAAGGCCTTGGCTCATTACCATCGGCAACACTACAGAGCTAGCTGTGACGATCCCATTGGTATCAATCCTGCTGCACCACAAAGTATCCCTCGAGGTAAACAGCGATCAGGTCGTGACAGAGTAGGTCTTTGAAGATCCAAGGTTCTCCCGGCCATGGTCACTCTTCCGGTTTCACTACCGAGCCAAGCTGGGAACAAGCACAGGGAGATGAAGTACGAGGCACGTTCCAAGTCCAAGGTCAAATCTGGACAATGTCAATAGAGCTTATGCAAACCAAGTGGAGGTAGGTAAGGGGGCAGTGTCATTTACGTGGTTCAGCGGGAGGCTTGGCGGGAGCGAACGGTCAGTGACTGTGACGTGCCAACGGTCTGCCTCGGTCCAGTACAGTCATACGCTTATAGTAGCGTACTTTCCGTGTGTAGACCAATACAGTTGTTGGCTTACACGGCTTGTCTTGAGGGGAAGGAACGCGGAAAGATTCCATACTCCGCTTCCCCGCCGGTTCCTTCCAGCCGGACGTGGATCGAACGCACGCTTGTACAGGACCATAGAGGTTGTGGAACCACATACCTTGCTCAACACAGGTAGTGTAGCGGACCCGCTCGTATTGCGTTTGTCTCAAGTTGTTATGATGGCTTTGCATAGTTTTTAGCATCATGAATCTGCTACCCCAGGTTTGGACCATAGATCGACCAATGAGAGTCCTCCGCAAAACTTGGGGTAGACCTTGGCATCAGTCGATCCCGGGCATGAGGAACCCCAACGGACGCATTGACGACGCATTCAATGCTGTAAAGATGCGCTATCCCCATCCAAGAGCCTGGTTTCATTGGACTCGTCCTACCCCTGCACCGGTCGAATGGCAACTTGTCGTCGTCTCAATCTCCAATGCCCCAGCCCTCAGGTCGATCTGTGGACTCCATTGAATGCCAGTTAGGTCACATGTCTGGCTGAGCACTATGCCTGTATGTCAAGAGTTCCTCTCTTATAGAGTAACGATGACCCCGAAAGGCCTAGTTATGGCTTGCTCCCCCAGCGTGTGCGCGACTACACTAGAAAAATGTCTTCCAACGACGTGAAGCTCAATGGCGACCATCTCGATGAGTTGCATCGATTCAGAACAGCCGGGAGCGTACAGATATCGGCTGAGCTCTTCGAGAAGCTGTACCTGACCCCCCAGACTGTGGTTAAAGGAGAGCTGCGAAAGACCTTTGGAAATCCCACGCCCATGTACGTCGGCTGAGCTCCCCCTGATATTGCATTCAGAGGCTAACCATGAACGAACAGCGGATTGGTAGGGTTCCTGATAGCTCTGACGCCGTTGTCCTGTGAACTCATGGGCTGGAGGGGGGCAACCAGTAGCGGAGCCGCCGGCATGTAAGAAACTCTCCAAGGCCCGGCTGAATAAGTTCAGTTGGCTGATAACTTTGTGATTGCTAGAGCCACGTACTTCTTCTTTGGCGGCCTCCTTCAATTCATCGCCGGTCTACTCGAATGGGTGTTGGGCAACACCTTCCCCTCGGTCGTCTTCTGCTGTTTCGGTGCCTTCTTCTTCTCTTTCGGAGGAACCTTGAATCCCAATTTTGGTGCGTACGCGGCATACGCGCCAGCTGGCGAGCCTGCATCAGCCGGGCTCGCAACGCGAGGATTCAATGCCAGCTTCGGTAAGTCCCTGGCCCGCCGCAATATAGTCCCCAACGATTAACGTGTGACTGCATGGCAGGGTTCATTCTGCTTTGGATGGGTGTTATGACCCTGATCTTCCTGGTATGCTCGCTGCGGGTGAATATCTGCTTCTTCGTCATCTTCCTCTCGCTGCTGCTCGCCCTTATCTTCTTGACAGTGGCATATTGGCTATTGGCAGATGATATCGTTGGCAATGCTGGCCTCGCGTCGAAGATGTTGGTGGTAAGTCATGCCCGATGCTCGTCAGCAACCGGAATAGAAGGGCTGACATCCTCTTTTAGACTGCCGGAGCATGCGCCTTCGTTACATGCGCTGCCGGTTGGTGGATATTCTTTGCCATCATGCTTGCCACCTTGGATTTCCCAGTCCAAATCCCAGTGGGCGACTTGAGCCGCTTCATCAAGCCCGGCGGTTTACAGAAGCGGCTGCAAGAAGAGGTGTAATAATAGGCACAGTGGGTAAAGCTTGCAATGACGCGGATCCACGGCTGTTAGCATAACTCCGGTATGGGTAGTCACAGGCCTGATTTGTGGAAGGAAAAAGAAATCACTCTCCAAAAGATAATCATCACGTCGGATGGTAACCTGGAATGAATGGAGGAGGGTGGGGCTCACATGTGTGGCAGATTTGAGCTACAGGTGCCCAACCAGCGACAAGAACTAGCACTGAATTAGGATCAAATCACACAAAGCATTCTCGGGTCAGGTTGATCACCTGGATCTGAAGTAGCTACCTACCCACCAGGTCTCGAGGCATGTGAGCTGTCGAAGTGTGATATGCTGGATTTCAAATGAATTCGTGACTCGGGAGGCACCCCTAGCTGATGCTTTTCGCACCTTCCCTTTTCGTAAGCACGCTGCTGCTAATCAACCCCTAATGAAGAGGTGAGATATGCAAGCGAAAGGAAGAACTACAAAAGCTTCCAAACGACTATTTGTCAATTACCGCTTCAATTCGTTCTTCTGCGATGTTGATATTTTTCAAATGAGTTCCGGCTACCACGGCAACTGCCACTGTGGCCGCTTCCGTTTCGAGCTTACGGGAGTCGAGATCACGGAAGCCATTGTATGCAAGTGCACGCTCTGTGCTAAGAAAGGGTACCTTTGGATACGTCCGATAACCGGCTCCTTCAACGTGACAAGGGACGAAGGCTCCCTAACATCATACAAGGCGCCGACTCTGACGGATCAGGTAGGCCAAGTTGATTCTCAGCATAGTGTGAACATGACGTCCGCCTGGCATATAGGTACTTGCTGATCGGAAGTCCGTAGTTCTGCGGCCATTGCGGCACCGGCGTCCTCGGTGAGCATTCCTTAGGGTCGCTCAATGGCCAGCAACTTGTCAACATACGCGCTATACAGGAGGTCAATCCGTTCAAGCTAGGGTACGAGTTTGTCTTCCATGTCCCAAGACTCTCATCTCCACCAGGAAGGTATAACTGAAGCTGTCGCCAGCTCATCCATCCATGTCGCGGCACCGGACGACGAAAGGCCGCTAAAGCGTATCTCGGAGAGCTCCCCAGCGCTACACAAGGCCTCGTGCCACTGTGGCCAGGTTCAAGCTGAACTGCTAGTCCCCATCACGGATCTCGAGATCAAAGAGGATAACTGTAGCTCCTGTGTGAGGGTACGTTGAGCCCATATGAAAAGCTACGGGCGACGTGGCTTGCGGACTGCTTTGCTGACTTATGCAAGGATGCATACATTGGAGTATATCCCACGAAAGACCAGGTCAAGATCCACGGCAGAGAGAACACGTTCGAGTATAAGTACGGCCAGAAGTTCTCTGGCACGCTTTACTGCAAGATATGCGGTGTTACCGTCTTCAGAAACATCTATGGGCCACCCCTTTCCGTGTTCGACAAGGTACCCGCTGACCGGAAGGAACGGGTCATGGCGGCATATTGGAAGAATATGGCGATGCAGCCGTTGAATGTAAGAACATTTGATGGCCTGGACCTTGAGTCTCTGAAGATTGAGAGGACGGATGAAGGCACCGAGGGCTATG